CCAATGGCGTCTGAAAAGGCATCTTTGGGAGAGTCCCCTAGTGGTGGAGAGGTGCAGTTTGGGGTGACCTGAAAAAGATTTTGTCTGGAAATCCCAGGCAAACCTCAGCCCCTTATTTAGTACTGATTACACAACACGCAAGCCTGGGGGGCTCTCAGTTAGCTGGCTGGAATGTGAAAATGAAGCTGCGGGTTGGGCACCAGTCCTTATTCAGGAGAGTTAGGGATATGTGTGGTTTGGAGTGACCCAAGGTGGGCTTTGCCGCATAATCACAGCCCAAAATAAACTCCTTATTGGCGCAATGTACTTAGCATGCAGGCATTGAAGGGTAGGTGGCAGGTAGCAGGCTGGTACTCAAAAACCAAGCGTTGGGTCAAGCAGGGACTGGCTCAGGCTTTTTCTGGAGAGTCCCCAGGTGGTGGAGAGGAGTGTTTTGGGTTGATCTAAAAAGGATTTTGCCCCATAATCCAAGACCAAATTCAGCTCTTTAGTCACAGGAATGTACACAGCACACAGGTCAGGGGGCAGTCACTTAGCAGACTGACATGCAAAAACTGAGCTTTGGGTCAGGTAGTGCCCAGCCCAGACTTCTTCAGAAGAATCCCCTGGTGGCAGAGATGTGTGGTTTAAGGTGACCCAAAGAAGATTATCACTCATAACGCCAGACCCAAATGAGCTCTATATTTGGTGCTTGGTAATTAACACACAGTTCTGTGGGGGACTTCGATTGAGAGGCTGGCGCACCAAATCTGAGTTTTGGGTCAGGCAGGGACTTCTTTAGGAGAGTCTCCATAGATTCATAGATGTTAGGGTCGGAAGGGACCTCAATAGATCATTGAGTCCGACCCCCTGCATAGGCAGGGGGAGAGCACCACCTCCCTTGGGAGCCCGTTCCAGACCTTGGCCACTCGAACTGTGAAGAAGTTCTTCCTAATGTCTAGTCTAAATCTGTTCTCTGCTAGCTTGTGGCCATTATTTCTTGTAACCCCTGGGGGCACCTTGGTGAATAAAACCTCACCAATTCCCTTCTGTGCCCCCGTGATGAACTTATAGGCAGCCACAAGGTCACCTCTCAACCTTCTCTTGCAGAGGCTGAAGTGGTCCAGGTGCCCCAGTCTCTCCTCATAGGGCTTCACCCGCAAGCCCTTAACCATATGAGTGGCCCTTCTCTGGACCCTCTCCAGATTATCCACATCCCTCTTGAAGTGCGGCGCCCAAAACTGCACACAGTATTCTAACTACGGTCTGACCAGTGCCCGATAGAGGGGAAGTATCACCTTCTTGGATCTGTTCGTCATGCATCTGCTGATGCACGATAAAGTGACATTAGCTTTTCTGATGGCTTTGTCACACTGCCGACTCATGTTCATCTTGGAGTCCACTAGGACTCCAAGATCCCTTTCTGCTTCCGTTCCACCAAGCAGGTCATTTCCTAGGCAGTAGGTATGCTGGCCATTTTTCCTCCCTAGGTGCAGCACTTTGCATTTCTCCTTGTTGAA